TGACTTGCAGAGACCATCCGATTCAGTATTCTTCCAGGCTGGTACCAATTTACCGTCCCAGTGGGTAGAAATCTCAGTTGGCCTGAGCGAGAGCCGATCCGAAGTTTGTCACCCAGCTAGTGCGCACGGTAAGCGTATCGCTCGCTAGTATACTACCTCTGCCTGAGGCTTCTACAGGGGGGGGGCAAAAAAAAGTCACTTCGACCGAGTCACATATCAGCAAAGTTTTCGCTGCCCAGACAGAGGACGTGGATACGAGTACCAGGGCGGAAGATACCCAAGATGTTCCTCGCAGGAGCTGGCTCTCGCCCATCACCTTCATGTACACCAAAATATGAAGTCATCTCCAGTCGCAGCCTGACTGGAGAAGACCTTTGGAATTCATGTCACCTCCAAACAGCTGCGAAACTTCTAGTATGGAGTCACCCATGGATAGCTACCTGGAGACCAGTACTCTCGATCTGGATGACCTCCAACATCGAGCAGCTCCGACAACGTCGCCACGGTCTAGGACATCATCTTCACCACAGTCGCCAAGGCGCGGGTTGATGGTATGGACCGGACGTACCTGGAATGGAAAGACCGGACCCCGGACTGAAGGTGAGCGCTGGCGGTTACATTGGGCAACTCGTGAAGAATATCCTCCTCACATGTGGTCGCCCGTACCTTCTTGGAAACTTTGTACTGCTACAGCATTGAGTGCCACCACATGAAATCGAAGGGCGTTGGAGAAACACTGCCTACTTGGAATGGAAGGGGGCTGAGTACCTAAAGAAGATGGAATATCCAAGTAGGTCACCTGACCTGAATCCCCTCAATTACCCGGTTCGCGGAGTTCAATAGGGTGGTCTACGGTGGCGGAGAAATCGACTATCTCGCTGATCTCAGGCACCACATCGCGGTCGCGTGCCAGAATCTCTCGATGGCGCTCGTCCAGAAGGCTGTGGCGGAGTGTCATGATAGTATTTGATATGCTCTTTAATATGGTGGTAAAAATGTCCGATCAGAATTTAATAAAGTGTAACTTATAGCGCCTCGAAAGTCAATGAAGAAAAGTGACTTTTTTGCCCCCCCCCCTGTATACACGATTAGAACGTAACATACCTCAAAATAATTTTGGACGTAAACCCTGCGGACCTACAACAAAAAAAATCACTATTGTTTATTGGAATACTTTTAAAACGATACAAATAGTTATTAATATGTACAAATACAATTGCTCAGACACTAACACAATTCGATTCAAACAAACACTGTTTAGGAAAATAGCTAGTAATTGAGTTAGGAGATCAGTTCCTATTTATGCAGTATAACATAGTACTGCAGAAAGTTCTTTCAGAGAAAAATTTCTAAAGAGTCCAACCTTATTTATGAACAGAAATAGACATGCAAAGTATGACAAGGTCGGTGTGCAGAGCGAAGAGTAAGACATTGAGAATTATAAAAAAATCATGCACAAGAAATATATACAAGTAAATAGGAGAGCAGGGTGTTGGGCCAAACTCGACTGTATCCGTTGCCAATAACGAGCAGGTATAGATGACTTCGGAAAACAGGGAGGAAACAACTAGGAAAAGGGGAAAAGTAATCGATTTATGGAGATCACTACTATATAAAACAAGGAAATGTCGGCGATGACAAGACCAACACGACTGTAGACGTCCCGTAACCATTAGATGCCTCACTACCTCATATAAATTATTAGATCTATGATACCAACGATTTGAGATGTTCCTATATCGATAGACGTTCGGTACATTCATGAAAGATTTTTAATTTGTAAACCCAGAAGAGACTAAAACTTTGCGAATGCTGAGTGTTAGATGCAATAAAACGTTGGGATTGGTGTCAATGAATTACTAGTAACTAACCTTCAGGGAGGAAACTCCAGTCCTTTCATCAGTGGAAAGTACATGGTATGCCCATATAAGTGTAACACCGCCGAAAAGAACGTGAAAACTGCACAGAAAACCCTCCGCACTGATTCTGCTGTTCAGAACAGGAGTATGAAGAAATTTTTACACAAGATCCCAATATACCACCCACCAAATCAAATCGTTTTATAGGCTAGTTCATTCTGCTTCCACTGGGTATGGGGCGACCCATAAGTATAGAAACAGAAGGAAATGAATAAAACCTTAGAAGAGGATCAAAACACTAACAGTTAACAGTATGATATAAGCATCGACTCGCGCATTTCAAGGGTAGATGAATCCACGTCTGAGGTAGGCCCGTAAGTATGGGATGTAACAAGAAAGTGTTTCGGAGCAGAAGAAAAAGGACTAAACTCGTTGATGACAAACCTGTATGGAACGAACGACGCACAGTATTTGGACAAAAATACAAACTGAAAGGCCAGTACTACTGTAAACCGCAACAAATGAAAAACATAATACTTTCAGCATGAATCCGATGACACTGACATAGTGTTGACAAATGACAGATGTAATAAATTATCACAGAAAACTACTTGTCAACAGAGATTGTACTGAATATGAATAAAGAGTTTGATCTACCTACTTGATACATTTTCGGTACTTGTGAAGTCTTTTATAGTGACAACCATAATGCTGACGAGCTTTTCGGTTACGCCTTCGAAGTGCAGCGCGCAAAGTGGGCAGTTCTGTGTTCGTGGGGATGCGACGAGTTGGAAGGTCGCGGTACATATTTACACCAAGACGAAACAGCTGAAATAAAACAGCTGTAACTACAAGCATAACATTTTTTGGACAGAAGCCTGAGCGCACGCATTTTTCGAATAGACCATATCATATCATATTATTATTATTCTTATTCTATTATTATTATTATTATTATTATTATTACTATTATTATTATTACTATTATTGTGGTGAAACAGCAGTACAATAGCCACCCGACAATATATGAAAGAATATACCAGGGGTGTTCAATGTATTTTCAGTATAGGTATGAAGGAAAAGGCAGAAAATTCTGAGTATGGTGCTGTCCCGGAGTCTCATTTCTTATCTGAGTGTGTAACAACAATGTGAAACTCCAAAAGTTTATTCCAAAAAACTCAAAAGACAGTGAAAGTCTCAAAAGTTTGTTATAATATATCTTAACTTGCAATATTTCGGTGCGTAGCACCTTCGTCAGGCCAGTTGTCCCGAAATAAATCACTTTATTTCAGAAAATTCTGAATTAAATTTATTTTTCAATATAGTCCCCTCTCCCATAACCTCAATGCACTTGTTTGCTCAAGAAACTATTTTTTTTTCAGTTTTTTTTTATACCCTCTGAAGAACATTTTCTTCTTTGTCCACGAAATGTGGGTTAACTGCGTTAACTGCCGCTTTCAGCTCTTCATCGTAAAAAAAGGGAAACGCTATTCACAAAAATATTAGTAGGTCACTTTCTCAACACTGTCGCATCAGTCATTCTGGCCTTCTTTCACCAGGATAACTAAAATAACACTGATGATAACTAAATGAAATTTTGTATTTATACCCTCAGAGAGTGTCGTTACCTATTGGAATGGTTCAAATTCCTTTTTACTGCTTTATTATCCCAATACCGAGGAATACTTTCTTGGACTGCCTTCGTATTACTGCGCCTTTCTCTCCAAATGCGGTCAGTATCCATATTGCAGATGAAATCCGAGCAAGCGTAATGCAGTCACCCAGCAATAATCAGCAAATATGACTATTTCATCGTAATGGATCGTTCATGCTGATTGAAACGGAAACTATTTTGAGGACATTTTTAAATAATTATGCATTTCAAGAAATAGCAAAGGATTGGAAAACTCCCACAGTATTAAAAGCTCTTCACTATATAAAATAGTAGAAACTGTGCGGTATTTTTCTCATTCCTTCCAGTAAACGCCAACACAACGGCCAGCAAAATTAGCCCTACGGGCGCCCTTCGAATTGTAGATTTTACTCATTATTATCCTTTTTGGTTCTCTAAGTAATAGACAGTAGATGATCTATGACATTCCCTTCTTACTCCCCAACACTTCCTCTCATGCGTTCTCCTATCGACACTCATCTAGGCACCGGATGCTGAGTCCTGAGACATTCGAAATTGGAGGCGCATACGTTCACCAAGGTGATGGATCGTTCCCATGTATGTTATGAACAGGTCAGCAGCTGTAGAAGCGCGCCACTTTCGCCGCCACGAAGTGCGTGAGAATGAAGCTGGAAGGAACGGATGTAGTGTAGTTCTCTGCGGACGGTTGGGTGTGTCAGTGCGGCGGCGTTTGGCGCGGTGCCACCCGTTTTTAAAGCGAACAAATGATATGGTATCATATCGATCGTATTACTCGTTTTCTACCACTTTTTGTCGCATGCGCGCTTCAACAAGAAGGCAGAGAACGGCCTTGACGCTGTGCACACTCATACTGGCTGACACGCCCAACCGTCCGCAGCGAAGTAGAGTGTAAGTGAAAATTTTTCTTCATAAGTCAACACGCACGTTACACCACATGCACGCAACACGCCGCATGACCTGCCGTCTAACCAGGTTAAACGCCCTACTGGCCTGCAGCCCCTCGCGTTTCACAGATTCCCAAAGAAGACTCCCATTGGCACGCTGAACAAGCACGAAGCCAAAGAACTAAAAAAAACAAAGAACTCTAGTCAAACGTGCGAGGGAGCAACAGTGTTGCATATAACCTTACTAGACGGCTTGTTTCGTTATGTGCGGGCGGAATAATAAAAGGACATCCAACCACCACTTTCATTCTCACATATTCCGCGCAGCGAAATTGACACGGTCAGACAGCTGCGTACCTGCTCAGCTCACCCGTGCAAAGAATTTATATTGCAGGTGAGCGTACAGCGTTATTTTCAAACAATGAAGCGGCAAGCTAGAGTATCATGGACGTTCCTAAAAGTATGAAGTCGGGTGTAGAGTAGAAGTTAACGCTTACTTTTACTGGAATCTACGGTTCTCTCAAGACTTACTCAAGAGACGCGTTATTTTCATAAACACGAAACACGATAAGAAGAGTTTGCCAAGGACGCTATCCAATTCTCTCACTGAGAATAATTACCGGAACTCACATCCAAATCAGCATCATCCAACTGTTTCGAAGTTTCCCAGTAAGCAAACTCTGCTTGTACTTTACTCCAGCAGTGAGAAATTACTCCTCGTAACCTAGGTTCCAATTCCTGCAACTCAGTTTGGCATCGAAGCAGTTCTTCCGAAACTTCATCCTGTAAGAGGACGAGTTTCCTTGAAATATCAGCAGTTACGTCTGTTGTAAAATGAAAAGCAGCATGATAGAAAATACCAAATCCGAGTCATCATCATCTTCCTTTCCTTCATGGCTGACGGATGCTTCACGTGGAACCGAATTGGTCGCAATTTCGCGATAAACATGCTCTGTGGACGAAGGTATCAAACCTGAACATGAAGCTGCTAATCGTTGAAATTCAGAAAAAGCCAAATTTTCCAAACAGAAAGAACAAGTGATTTCAAAAAATGTGTGGCAAACGAAGCAACTGGTGGGACGATGCAATACATATCGACTGACCAGCTATTCAAATGGCATGTGTAACACAGTGGTGACGCAATCATCCACATCCTGTCGATGCTACCCAAAAACTAACCTCTTTCAACAAGCATTTTCACGATACGACTCCCGATTTCGCGGTAGTGCCGCTCAATCTCAACTTCCTCAGTAATGCTCGACATGGCAGATGAGGCTGGAGAACTCAGACTGCAGTTTACATTCGAATGTATTCCATTCTCTCGCTTCGTCTTAAAATTATAAACTTACGAAATGTAACGCATTTCCAGAGTTTTCTTTCAAGTGAATAATGAGCTTATCCGTAACACGTGGAAGGTCTGAAAGAATACCTCTCCGTTCCGCCTTAGCCTCGTCCTGAGCTCTCCATTGCAGCGTCCATTAGTGAGATTACTAGCCGGAATCGAGCTGCTTGGACCAGGGCGATCCCAATCATCATCTTCTTCTCGAATCTCCTTTTT